AAAAATTTGGAGACTCTAGCAATAAAGGTGTAGAAGATATAATTTTATAACTGGTTTTCGATAAGGTTTTTCATCGATAAAAAAAGATCGGGATGAGTTATCGAATTTTAATGATAAACTCGATATCCGCGCTGTAATTACGAACATTTTACAAAAAATTTGAAGTCTCTAGCTCTTATATCTTCGGAAATCGGCGCGTTCAAACATACGGACAGACGGACAGACGGACAGACAGACAGACGGACAGGGCCAAATCAACTCAGCTCGTCACCCTGATCAAGAATATATATACTTTGTGGGGTCTGCCACGCCTCCTTCTCCCTGTTACATACATTTCAACAAAACCATTATACCCTGATTTCCCATTTTCAATGGGTTCAGGGTATAATGAGCGAAAATTGATTTTTATCGTCCGTTGTATTTTATCGTTTGTTATCTATAACTTATCTAAATTTAAGCTAGCTGATTCATGGCATCGGATGTATATAAGCCATATTAACACACGCTTATTAAAAATCCACGTGGCTTAAATGATAGCTCCATAATTTTAGGTGTTTCGAATTCATTATTATTGGCAGCTAAATGAGCTCAAACAGCAAACTTATATACACCTGCGGTTGATAAAAATAGGTGTGCTATTAATACAATTGGACAAAAACAAAATTGTTTGGTGATAAGCTCAATATTTTAAAAACTTTTTAAAATTAATATGAATATTAAAATATTTTTCATTAATATAGATGTCGATATTGAGTCTTAACACATTTTTTTTTTTTTTTTTTTTTTTTAAAACATTTATTGTTTCAGCTTTCTACTATTTTTATAAGCGTAACCTAATAAATATGTGTATATTATGTATTTATTTATGAATGAATAAACTTACATGTATGCATTAACAATATTATTTTCTCTTCTCTCTCTCAATGTCACTCATTCCCTGATTCTGATTCTCTCTCTCCCTCTCTCTCGCTTAATCACACGCTACCTCAATCACTCCTACTTGACGCTCTCATTCTGTCGCTGACTCTCTTTCTGTCTGTATTTCTAATCATTATTTGCTCATTATTTATATATTTTTTACGGCTTATCAAAAAGCAACGAAATTCGGTATTTATGAATTTATACAGACATATACTATTACTAAACGTTTATTGCAGGAAGTAAAAACATTGAAGTTGACCGTAAACGACTGCGCAATAATCACTTCATTAACCGATTATTAATATTTCAGACGCGAATATATATTAGCAAATGGTTTGCATCAAATGTGTTACCATATTAAAGAGATTATCTATCTGCATACGTATTAATGATAGATAAAATATCTATATGTATGTATATACGTTGGCGATAATCTAATTTATGTACAATTTAAAGGCCTGTTTAGAGAGAAGTTCAATTGAATTTCCCTGTTGGTAAAAATTGCAATGAACTATGAATGCGCAGCGTTCGTTGACTTGCATTTATTAACAAATAAATAATCGATTTTTTACTGCTGTCAATTCATGAGCAAGCTATCCAGGGCATACCCTAAACGACGGGCATTATCAATATTTGTAACCTGACGATTTTATTGTTTCGATGGCTAAAGCTAAATCAATTTTCCATTGATCGTCAATTACTTTGTTTGTCAATTACTGTATTTTCTAATTATGTTTTTATTTACATTTTATATACAATCATATTGTAATCATTTTAAGCACTCCCCGTTATCAATTCTTATCTACATACAAAACATTCAAATAGATAACTTCAGAGAAAGTAGAGCATTATAAAAATTTTGATAATAATTTGCATTCGTGTCAAAGCACGACTGTGGTTGTTATGAACAAAATCCTGTTGAGACGATTTTGTTTTTGTCTTTGTCTGGGCAATTTATTTTTGAAATCAACGATTTTCTCACGTATTTTTTATGAATTAAAAAAAAAAAAGCATTAAATAATCACGTCCCATTGATGACGTTCAATGAATAACTCTCATCCTTTACCAGTTAAATTAGTAATTCAGATACAATGTGTTTTTTCCTATTTTATTTTCAATATTACAGTAATATTAAATTTGTGTTCGTTTCAAAAAAAATTATTATACAATTCTTTAAGCAAATAAAATACCTGTTTTTAAAGTTGAACGTAAAATAAATATATTTTTTTTAAACTTCACTATTTAAAGGGCTTTGGTGGTAGTTTTTCTATAACAGAAGCATACGTGTATATATGACACACGTCAAAGTGATTCATCTCGAAAATGGAATGTTTTAAACACAAAGCAACTGTTTTCTCACATTCGATATGAGTTAAGTTTTGACGGAACGATTTACAAATTTAAATTGCATAACGAAACAGTGCATAGCTGTGATATATCAATTTGTGCACATCTGTGCCCATAATGCTCTGCAAACAGCCCCGTTATGTAATTGCTGAGTACAGCTTAGTAAGCACACCACACTCCAATCCAATCCAATCCACCCCCAAAATATATATAATTCATATGCTCATTCCGCTAGATATGTTCATTCCCCCAGTCGACTTCTAGTTGGCGCTCGTTTGTTTACTTACTCGTTGCGTGTTTCGCAAACGCGACCCATAAACAACAACTAAAAACTAAAACAAAAAACAAAATAAATAAATAAATAAACTGACTGTGTGTGCAGCCAAAAAATCGTAATAATGTGATTCGATTTCAACGCGCTTGCTATAAAAATAAGAAACACAACAAACAGCGAAACAATCACACACATACATTCATACAGACAGACTCGTGAAACGTACAAACATATTGTTATATAAATACTTGATTAATATTCAAGGTTGCAATAGCGTTTAGCTTCCTTATTCAAGAAGAAAGAGAAGTAAATTCAAAGAAACAAACAGATTTGTTTTTGATAAACACAAATCATACGAGGCTCGCGATTTCGTATAAGTTTTTTATTCTTTGTTGCCGAGTCGGAATTCCAAGCATTAGTATAGCCAGGGCTCCCAACTGACCCAGTTCTCCAATAGTTTTCTATTTGGAAATTCATTTGCTGCTCTAGGCAAATTCTACTTACGGCTAAATATTTTTTTTCTGCGGGCCCCCAATCTGTCCCAATGCAATAAATATGAGCTTTAGTGTGTAAGTGCTTTGTACACATAAATATAGAAATGAAATTGTTATCGTATGTAATTTGATGGCTTTATGACGTCCAAATACGTGAGTAGCAAAGTATTTATGTAAATACTCTGGTAACATGCAACATTATATGCAGATCTATTCATTTGCACGTTATCTAGGGTCATAAACATGCACAGTCGATGGCTGAGATTGATAACAGATATAATGATAAGTGAAATATAAAATATGTTCCTTATACCAGTGAATAGTAATGATGATGCCGTCAGAGATTATCATTTAGTCATCATTTCTGAAAGAGTTCAAACTATATAGAAATTCATCAAGATTTTTTTTTAGCTAATATAACTCCCTTTTTAAATAGTCAATCAAATCAAAATAGTTAACGATACTAATACAGACGTTATTCATGCCAATTCAGTTCCAAGAAACTTATGATCTTTTATATTTGTTGTTTTGCAGATTAGTTACATATAGTAATAGAGAAGATCGGAGTTTGATTATTTAAGCAACCGAATCACGAATCACAAATCTCAATTGGAGAATGACATCCCGGTAAGTAAATAAAATAATAATGAAACGTAAGCCCACCCATGCTTATTTCTTCTCCCTCTCTGTCTCTGTCTCTCTTCCAGACTTGATCGCCTTTTCATATTACTTGAGTCGGGCTCCACGGCAGCCACGCGCCATGCGGCTGCCAAGGAAATTGGCGAGGTGCAGAAGTTATATCCACATGAGTTGCACACGCTGCTCAACCGGCTGGTAGGATATCTGCACAGTGCCTCGTGGGAGACACGCATCGCCGCCGCGCAGTCTGTGGAGGCGATACTGAAGCAGGTGCCGCCATGGCAGCCAGAGCTGCAGCTGGGCGCCATTAAATTAAAGAAAGAGCGCTCGGCGAGCGATGCCGCCGAAGAGGACAGCTGTCAATCGAATGCCTCTTCGTCGACTACGACGACGCCATGCAGTGAGCGATTGCTCAGCTTTGATGAGTTCGATTTACATCAGATTTTACAGAAAGGCGCCCGACTGATCGGCTCTGAGGGGAACGAATTCGATGTGCAGGAGGAGCAGCCTGCCAGCGGCGGCGCCGCCGAAGATCAGAGCGAGGCCGGCCGACTGTGTCGCCAGCGTGCGCTGCTCAACGACAAACTGGGCCTCACCACTGCCGCCAAGCTGGGTGTCAATCTGACTGACATGATCACCGATGAGGATGTGGCATTGGCGCGCTCTGGAACCAGCTACAATGTGAATGCCGAGAAGCTGCCTGTGGAGCACATACTGAATATCAAGCAAGCCAACGGAGGAGGAGTAGGTGCTGTCAGTGCCTCGGGCCAGCGGCTCAGTTGCCGTGAGATGAATCGCGCCAAGCGCAAAGCGCGTCAAAGCACCGCCAATTCCGCCTCCGTAGTCACGCCCACTTGCAGTCGGCGCAATTCAACAGCTGGCATTGGCGCCGGCAGCAACAGCAGCAGCGGCAGCAGCTGCAGCAACAACAACAACAACAACAACAACAGCAACGGTGCCACAGTCACAGGCGATGAGCCAGAGAAGAAAAAACTGAAATCAAACGACAGACACGAGATTTTCTACAGCTTAAATGGTACGTGGGCAGCAATCCCAAACCGCAATATTTGCTCAAGTGACGTAAAATTGTATTTTTAGCCATGCCGAGTAATTAACTTGTGATGAAATATTTCTTTTTTTCGCTAAATGATTTGAGTGCACTAAAGTATCCATTAAATATTGTAAAAATATTGTCGTAACATGCTGGTTTGACCTTCACTTTTATGGACATCAATCAAGATGCTTCTTTGATGTGTAACAAATTTCCTTCAATTATGTTTTGAATTGGATTTGACACGAATATCTTTTAATTTATGTACTCCAATTAAGATTTGTATTTGATTTGAAACAATTATCCTCAACTTTGTTAAATACTAATTGTTATGTTAATTGCATTGACCAAAATGTTTTAGTTTTGGTAATTGTAAGCCTTGCGTTTATATTCGCTATACTTATTTTAATGACTTTCAGTCTATTTGATCTCAATTGTATGTAGATATATCGATTTCGCAATATTTTACGAATTTTTTATCTCCACCAGATGGAATATCTGGCATATATTCAGAGGCATATCGATATGCATGATGTCATATAGCCTCTAAAGCAATTCAAATTTAGCCCTTCTTATTCTCAATCTTTCTTTGATTTTATTATTTAATTAAATTTTTTTTTTATAAATTAGACTTAGATGCACCACACGACTTACTCATATTCCCTCACTCACATTTTCCTCCGCTTCCTTTAATTAAAACTTTTAATTATATATATTTTTTTTATTCTTACAGCCGCTGTGCCAGATGCGACGGGCAATTGGGTCGATGCTGTCTCGTGGCCCCTGGAGAACTTCTGTGCGCGACTCTTTATTGATCTCTTTCACGCCAAATGGGAGGTTCGCCATGGGGCGGCCACTGCGCTGCGCCAGCTCATCAATCTGCACGGCAAGGGAGCAGGCAAGTGCGTGCAGCAGAGCCCGGAGCAAATGCACGAGGCGCACGGTCGATGGCTGGAGGATGCTGCAATTCGGTTGCTGTGTGTGCTATGCCTTGACCGATTCGGAGACTTTGTGTCTGACCAGGTGGTGGCTCCGGTTCGTGAGACATGCGCCCAAGTGCTAGGCACCCTGGTCAAGGCAATCGATGAGCCCAAAGTTCACCGCATTGTGGACATTCTGCTGCAGCTAATACGCCACAAGAACGAGTGGGAGGTGCGCCATGGCGGCCTCCTGGGCCTCAAGTATGTGTTTGTCGTGCGCGAGGAACTGTTGTCCATTCACCTGCCCAAGTCTATATCGGACATATTATCGGGTCTACTGGATGCCGTTGATGATGTGGGCGCGGTAGCGGCAGCGACGCTAATCCCAGTAGCCGTGTGGCTGCCAAAGCTGCTGAATGCCGCACAGGTGTCGTCCATTGTGAAGATGCTGTGGGACTTGCTGCTCGATCAGGATGAGCTGACCTCGGCCTGCAACAGCTTTATGGGTCTGTTGGCAGCCATACTGTGTTTGCCACGGGCAGCCAGCTGGATCGAAATGGAACCCATAGGCAGCTTGGTGCCACGCCTATTTCCGTTCCTGTCCCACAGCACTAGCTCGGTGCGTCGCTCGACACTGAAGACGCTGCTCACCCTAACGAGTGGCGGCGAGGCTGAGCCTAAACAAACACCATCTGACGTCAAACTGGAGCCAGATAAGGGAGACGGCAGCACCAATGGCCAGCAAAAGGTGCTGAAGCTCAACTTTGGCGTCGTGGACTGGAACTGGCAACTGCTTCAGCAGGCCCTGCGTCACATTTACCAGCGTATTTTAGTTGAGCCGCAGGGAGACATACAGAGTTTGGCATATCAGGTCTGGTCCAATCTCATCAAGCATGCGGATTTGGGTGCGCTGCTGCACGCAGCCTGCCCGCACGTCTCATCCTGGATATGTCTGGCCATGCAACCGCCACGTCTGGCCTTTGACTCGGCCGTTATCATCAGAGCTGTTGGCGATGCTGCTTCTGTATCGGTGGCCAGCACGCGGCGGCGCACCCCACGAATGGGCGACGATTTGGGCGGAGTTGCCTTGGCTCATACAAATGCCATGCAGAAGTTGTATTTGGGCGGCAGTGAGGCGACACCACTAGAGGTTCGGGAAGCGAACTTTATGCGCGCGCGTATCACAGCCTCGCGAGCTCTGGGCGCTCTCTCACACTACCTGGTGCAGCCGGCGCCGGGCGTGCTTTATACTCCACAGGTGGAGAGTCCCACGGAATGTTACACCAAAGTGCTACTGGGCCACTTAAATGCGCACTCGGCGGTGCAGCGCATTGTATGCGGTTTGATAATTGCCTTCTGGGCGCTAGAGGATGAGCCCGTGCGACCTGGACCACCAAATCTGCAGGCAAAGCTGCATCAATGTGTGTCAGAGTATTTTTACTACGACGAGGTGGCCATGTCGCTGACACGACTGCTGCAGGAGGCACAGGACTTTATAGCGACACTAAAGCAAAACAAAATACCTATCAACGACTTCAATAATGCCAAGATTCTCACACTTGATCAGATCGAAGCGGTGGCCAACACGCTGAGTGACAATCTGCGCAGCTATACGCTAAAACCAAAGGTTCTGGATATGCTGCTGGAACGAAAGCGCAGCCTGCAGACCTCCTATCAGCAGACGACCAGTGAGCAGGGCGCCTATCACGTCAGCGCTCAGGCGGCCTTGGCCAGTGCCATCTGTGCGCTGCATTGTCTTCCTGACAAACTGAATCCCGTTGTCAAGCCATTGATGGAGTCTATCAAGCGAGAGCAGTGTGTTCCCTTGCAGCAACTGTCAGCCGAATTCTTGGTGCACCTCATGGACCAAGTTTGTGACAGAAATCCTAGTCCCAATAGCAAAATCTTGAACAATCTCTGTACACTGCTGCGCAGCGATACGGAGCATACCCCCAAACTGGTAAGTGAAATCATCATTGGTATCATCAAATACCCTAACTAATATATGTCCTGTATTTAGGGTATGCCGTTGCACACGTTGTTGGAGACACGGCCGACTACCAGTGTTAGTGAGAACGACAATTGCGATTATTACGGAATACTTACGCTTAAGCAGCAACAGGCTGCAACCAGTACAGCCAGCAGCGGCAGCAGCGCGGGCACACGAACGGGCACCACACCCCTGGCAACGACTCCGAGGGGACCGGGCAGGCCGCCGGCCAGTGAAG